AGGAGAGCGAGCCGGCCAGGGAGGCAATTCAATCTGGTGATTGACGAAGAGCCCTTGGACAATGCATGTCACATGTGGTCATGCATTATCCTGCTGAAATATGGCTGTGGACAAGCCCTGAAGGTAAGGAAGGATAACTGGCTCCAACATCTAGGGGATGTAGCACTGACTGTTTAAAGTACCGGCAGTGCGTACTAGAGGAGTGAGAGAGTGATATCCAATCCCGCCCCATACCATAATACCCGGTGCAGGACCAGTGTGGCGGTGCATAACGCAGCTGTTCAGCATCCTCTCTCCACAGTGTATCCAGTCCTGGTTTTGCAGACAGAAGTGTGACTCGTCAGTAAAGACAATTTCGTTCCATTCTGCTGTCCACATCCTTCTTTCATTGTACCACTGGCGGTGGAGACGTCTGTTGTTTGGCATCAAGGGTAGACGAAGCAATGGACGTCTTGCAGACAGACCACTCTGCTGTTAACGGCGGCGAATGGTACGCGCAGACACTGGATGATGCGTTACAGACTGAATGTGCTGTGTTATAGTTCGTGATGTGACTGAGCGATCTGTCACTGCCATGCGCACAATGTTCCTGTCATCACATGAAGTGGTGTACTGAGGTGGATGCGATCGAACACGTCAGTCCATCGTACCCTCCTGCATCCAATGGTCACATATCCACATTACAGTTGCTTGGTTTCGTTCAACATGACTACCGATTTCCCTGAAAGATAATCTATACTCTCGGTAGGCCACTATCCTTTCTCTGTCGAACTCGGATACTTGATCAAACGATGATCACTGTTTACTACGAGGCATAATTGATAGTTTTTTTGAAAAAAAAAAAACACAGTTGCTGAACTTGAAATCGTCGAAAGCTCCAAGCCTTAAATAGCGCTTTGAAGTGGCGCCACAGGCACGCGTGATGTATGTCTGCGCTGAAATTCTAATCATTTGCATATCTCATCTCCGCTAATGGATGTTGTAAATTTCATGTTATTTGCATGCTTCCTTCAGGGTGTTGCATTTAGGTGGCCAGCAGTGTACCTTTACAGAGCCAGATTGAGAAAAGACTTACAAAAAAGATTTCGAGCAGAGTAAGGGCAACTAAAACAAAGCTCAAAATTCATCAGCGAACTGTTATCTGAGAAAGTTGGTGATCTTGTCATCATGTCCAACAATAAAAAAAGGATAAACTGGCACTTAGCTAGAATCCTGGAAATTTTTAGTGAAACTGAAAATTGCACAAGAGGAGATTATAAGTCCTACTAAGAACCTCATACCTCTTGAACTCAACTTTATGCCTGAGTTGCATATAAAAGTGAGGTACAGAATGTAAAGGATGACAACATCTTAAAAGACTTGAAGTCATCCTCTGCTCAAGAGACTTGAAGTCCATCCTCTGCTGATACTGGACCTTTAGGTAGAAGTATTGCATTTCTTTACTAATAACTCGAACAGACAAAGACAAAAGTAGTTAGTTGAACGGGTGATGCATCTAATATAAGTCGAAACGATAGAGTATCTCCATATATAGTTAAAACATAATGCTTGTATTGATTGTAACCTGTAAATATTATGTAAATATCTGTCATGTGTTAATTAAAATTTCTGAAAAAAAGTTATAATAGTGTTTGGCAGTAAATAGAATTGCCGGATAAACTAATGGATATTGAAAGGAAGACAAGCAGTTCCAGGGAAGCCCTTTACAAGTGAATTTTTTCTTATCTATTTAGTGATCTAAAATTTTAATACATAAAAGTTGATTAAATTTTAACACTACCTAATGAACAAATTTTGGAAACTATTCATCTTAAACCAAAAGATACCATCCAACACCTGGTGTGATTTTTACCATAAAATATTCATGTACATTGAAGGATGGATGCCAGGACTGAAAAATAACAACATTTGAAAAATTAAGGGCTTTAATTATTATTCATCAAATTAAATAATGGGTTACCAGATTTCTGAGAATATTACTTAAATGAATGCAGCAATATCATTTCACTCTTAGAACTGGTTAAAAACTTGATGATTCTGAAAACATAAAACAGCCTAAAGCACCATCTAATTTGGAATGTGATTAATCAAAGATATCAAATAAAGATCTCCCCTTTTTCAAATTTTTGACAGAGCAGTAGAAATGGAGAAACAAACACAATAGGAATGCTAGGTAGGGGACATCCAGAAACCAACAAACTGAGAACTTCAGAGATAAAGCTTATTAAAATGTTACAAATGAAGAGACAATGGACATTTCACGTCTTATTTCTCCAGTGACCAGGAAAGAGGGGTGTTCATATCGCTTCATCATATAAGAGAGGCTTCAGATGCTCATATTGCATGAATGTGTAATGATGTTGTGCATAAAGGAGTTTAAATCAAAGAAGTGACTTTTAATAATATGATTGCTGCTGCAATGGTCGGCACAGGCAGTTCAACGTGTCCCGTGTGAAAACACGTTTAAAAAGAAAGAGTTGATTTGCTGAAGCTGTAAAAGAAACTGTAAAGAAACTATGCTTTTGTTTGAAATCAGATCATCAAAAGCTTGGATGACAGGATTATTGGAACATGAAGTGGAAATAGATAGATTTATGCTTGCGCTAATTTGAAATGTACTACTTACCCCGAGTTGAAATATCAGGCAGTGATTGGAGTTTACCTTCATAACCAACCATAATTAAACTTTAGTAAAATGCTGTTGAGCTTTATAGGTATGAGACTTCAGAAGTAAATTCAGATGAATTTAAAGATGTTATTTTTGGATGATGTGAAAAACAGTACAGAATCACGAACGGTCGGCACAGTGTACGGTAAGAAACGGTTGGCACGGAAACGGCAAGAAACGTATAAGATTTCATGTAATGCTGAGGAAGTCTTGTATTTACCCATACTACTTTGAGAAGATGAGCAAAGGCTCTAGTGACAAGTGAACTAAAATTTGTAGTCTGCAGGTAGCTAACACACTACACTATCACAAAAGAACTTGACAGGACTGGTCAAGGATGAGTCCTAGCCAGCAGTAGTAACCATATCTCAACCACCAGCCCAGAACATCCCTGCCCGTAGATGTAACTTTGTAAAAGAATGGTGGGTTGCATGTCATTTGTAAAGGCTAGGACAAGAGAGGAACGAATGCAGATCTCCACAGCCAGCCCGTCAAAGGCTTTAATGCTTAAGAGGTCCACTACTAAACAGTTAATATAACTGCCCATGCAACTTTCTGTCATGAAAACCACAAGTCGAATAGGTGCTTTCACAATGAGAGACTATACTTTTATGGTGACCATAATCAACTCACTTCTGTACCTCACCGAGAAACAAGGTACGGCACAATGCACCTCCACATCAAACACAGATTTTTAGAAGACACATTGTGGTCTCATGTGATACTCAGGACCTTATCTGTCAGAGAGTCTAATCATACTTGTCAAAAAAGCTTACTCCTGCTTGGTCGCATCAGATGTCAAATTCTGTTGATCCAAAGTCTCGCATCTCCTAGGCTGAGAAGTGTCCCATTTAAGAGGTTGCTTGAGGGCAGGAGAGAAGAAGCTAGAGGTAGTTGTTATGTGCAATGCAAGATTTAAAAAAAAAAAAATAAAAAAAAAAAAATAAAAATAAAAAATAAAAAAAATAGAAATGCCAAGTATGTGAACTTCGCCAAATGTAGACTTTGATGCAAAAGTGGCAGTGAAAGAATTCTGCCAAAATTGGCAGTTTGAGAGAGGCGGAGGAAAGGAGAGGAGTGTGCAGTTTCACCAGCATAGTCTGCCGATGTATTAATATGTAAAATTTATCTATTTTTGTGTATGTGAATAAAATAAAATCGCGTTATCGTGAAGCTAGTATCTTCATTTTCTGATGATTGATCAATCATTATTTACGAACTGTCAAACTTTCCTATGTCATGGAATGATGGAGTTTTAAAAGCAAACAGCGAGTTTAAAAAGTCGTTCTTCAAGTAAGGTGCGAGTGTTATGGTCATTTTTCCGAGTATAAGTTAAACGTAAGCTTGCCACAGTCTTTGTTGGATGAAGAAATCATTAGATACCTGCAGATATCCAAGAGGTGAGAAATCTATTTGTTTTATATTCCTGCACACGATATTTCAATTATTGTGCCATTTTATTAATTCTGGTTTAGATTCTAAATAAAATATATTTACTTTTGGTTTATGTAATACAAGTAAATATAATTGCAAATTACATCAAATGTTGTGAAAATTCATATTTTCAGCAAAATGTTAATTAATTAGAAATATCGTTAAGGTTTGCCATTTATTTTACTCATTTTAGAATTGTAATATGTTGCAAGTATTACTGTTAAGAATGTTCTAAATGAATGTTTTGAAATATTGTTAAAGTTAGCCATTTGTATTAATTACAATTGCGATTTCTGGGATTAATTAAATTAATCATATGGCTATCATTACTTTTTCGCTCTGTAAAATTACTGTTCTCATGAGTCCATCATTTATCTATGGAACTGACATTAACTATATTTAATGACAGTTGACTATTTCTTATTAATCTGAAAATTTCAGATTACAGTCTAACATCTCACAGGTGAGTTTACATTAAAATTTTCTAAAATTAAAAAAATTATACACATACGTGGAGTTTTTCTTAGGTAAAAATAATAGTATAAATAAGTTTATAATTCTTCTTTTAATTAATTTAAATCCTGAAATTATTTTACATTTGACTTTATAAAGTTTGAACTTTTATTATGTGAACTTTTAATCTTATTGGATTTCATACATCATATGTAAATATATCTTTCCTAAATTTAATAAATGGTGAACAGAGACAATACCCTAGTAGATATGCCTATTCACTTACCAATATTTATACAGTAAGATTAGAATATTTTTGCCTTAAATAACCAAAAAAAAAAAAAAAAAAAAAAAAAAAAAGGCACTTAATAACCAGTTAAATTGGGGAATAATTAAATATTACCATATCAAATCTATTAACACAAAATGCATAATAATAAATTACTCTATGTAATTTTCAATCTGTAAAGATGCACAACATAGTTCATAGATGCGAAATTTCATTAGTTCCTCTTGCACAACGTGATGATCGGCTCTATTGCTGTCAATTCTCTCATGGATTTTTTCATTTCTTATATATTTCTGTACCTAAGAAATAATGAGAAAGAAAACTTTTAGAATTACAGTCAAAAGTCGTTAATCCGGACTCATCAGGACTTCGGCGAATCCGGATTATCGATTTTTCCGGATTATAGATCATCAGTTTAAATCTGGTAACATGGCATGAAGAAATTACAAAATTAAAAATATGAAACCGTAATTTATGAAATAAAGAACAATTATGATCTAAAGGGTATCAAAATTTACAAAAAGAAAAAGCTTAATATTTATTTGTTTACTTTATTAAACATTTCCTTCAACGTAAGTTGCTTCCTTTCATGTGATAATACTTTCTCTTTAATTCTATTAAACAGACATAATTTCTTGTTTAGTTACAAAGTTCCGCTGTTCAAGTCCTATAATTGCTGTGTTGAGAATACCCACTAATTTGTCAATCGAAAAGTTTTCGTTTTCAATAACCTCTGGGTCACTTTCTTCACTATCGGAAGCGAATTATAATGACGAGGAACTTGATTTAAATCATATCAAAGACAGAATGAAATACTACACTTAGTATGGAATTATAAACCAAATAAAATAAAAACATCTGCCCTGAAGATAAGGATAGTGCTGACAGATCAACTTCCAATTCCCCGCCTGGAAATTCTATTTGACATAATCTTTCTAATATATCATAATCTAATAATGACGTTTCTGCCCCCCCCCCTCTGCCGCAGAGCAGCGTGAAATTGATAAACAGATTTCGGATTTCAAAAGATACTTTCGCTTTGTAGTAAATATATATCGGAAATTCTATTTGACATAATCGAAAGTTCAAGCTTACTTTTATAAAATTGCTCTAACAGTCTGCAAAAAATAATAAGCCGGATCCAATTCGAAGACTAAGGAACAACGCAATCGGCAACATTAACTGAATTAGATACTTTTACCTTAGCGTATAACTCCGTTACAATTTAAACGCGCATGCGCACAAACATATTCGCAGCCGTAAGGGTCTTACGCGCTCTCGTAAACGCCTGTGGGCATGCGTGAACGCGACGCATGCGCAGAAAGTTTGTAGCTTTGAGGTCCGGATTATAGATCATTCCGGATTATGGGTGTCGAATTAACGACTTTTGACTGTAGTAATTGCTTTAAACAAGTAATTGCATTACCGATAAAACAATTGTGAGATTTTTCATATATTTTAAAATCCAATACAACACAAGATAACTTATAGTTCAATCAAGCATTAGGTATTTAATTCTACTACAGACCCCTTGAGCATCAATAATATATGAAGATCTGAAATAAACAAATTTTCCAACAATACTTAGACCTCACTATTATATAATACAGATTTAAGAAATGATTTAAAAATTTCATAAATATAATAATCTGAATCGACGAATAGAATTAAGATCTTTTTTAAAGCCTGAAGCCATCTTACAGAGAATTTTGGACTTAGGTATGAATGTAAAGTACATTTTGCAAAATTGCTGCTATCGCCCCCCCCCCCAAAAAAAAGAGAGGAGAAAAAGGAAAATATGAATACTCTAATCCCTTTTAAAAAAAAAAAAAAAACTGAATCAACTGAATCTGAAAATTTTAGATTACAGTCTAACATCTCACAGGGGAGTTTACATTAAAATTTTCTAAAATTCAAAAAATTATACACATACTTGGAGTTTTTCTTAGGTAAAAATAATACCTACTGCTCCCAGTTCATAAAATTAAATCTTTACTATTGAATTAATAAAATATTTAATTAAAAAAGTATTTGTTTATATATTTTCTTTTTCTAGGAAGGGGAGGGGAACAGAAAGAAATGAAAATATATAAAATGTTAAAGTTTGAATAAAATTTAAAAAGAAAATAGAGTGAGGAGTATAATTGTTATCTTACTAAAAAATTTACTCTTTACCATTCAGTTTAAATCTGGATGCGGACAATAAAATACTGACAAAACATAGCTAGAAAATTTGCAATCAATGTATTTATGACAACTCTGGTATAAATAACACTTGATGCAAAATAATATTATAAAGTATAAATAAAAATAACTTCTTTTAATGGTTCACCATTAATCCAATAGCCGCTGGTGTTGTGTTGACGGGGTCGAGGGAAAGGTCAAAATAAATGAAAATAAATATTCATTTATTTTATACCTAAGATATTTTATACCAGCAGATGATTTTGTGTAGGGAATATTATGAAAATTATTTCTGTAAAAAAATATTTGCCTTCAACAACCATTTTGTTTATAATAATTAAACTCATAATTTAAGCAAAATTTTGGCCCCGATACTTTGGCCGGAAATATAAGGGAAAGAATCGTGGTCTTTATAAATGATTTATGACACTGTTTATCAGAACATTAGGGCAATCAGATGTTTATATTTGTGTTGGGAGTTGGGAAGGAAGGGAAAACAGGTGTTGGGCTGACTCGACCTCAGCAGGAAATGGTTAATATCCTTTTTCACTCATTCCTTTGGATGTTCTGGTTCATGTTCTGGCTGCATTAAAAATGCCTAGAATAAGGTAGCTTACATTAGAACAAGCCCTTCAAAGATTTTTTGATGAAGAAACAGATGATGATAATGTTAATAATGACCAGAATGAAACTGATATTGTTGCTGTTCCCCCAGAAATTCCAGACAATGTTTTAAATAATGATATTTTACCAAATGATACTGCTGGGGAAGCTGAAATTCACAAGAGAAGTGAGTTTCAGCCTTCTATAAACAGTGGTAGTCATACGAAAACACTTAAAAAGCAGAAAACTGAAGAGATGAAATGGATAAAAAAAAAGGAACCCTCAGTTATGTCTCAGGAAGAAAATGAAGAAAGAGATAGAAGAGAAACTATAAAAGACAAAATACAAGTTAAAACTAGTGGAGAGATTTTCGATTTTCTTTTTGGTTCAGACATTTACTCTCTTCTCGTTGAACAGACAAAATATATATGCTCAGCAAAAAAAATCACCCAGAATTTATTGCATTTTTAAAAGGGAAATTAATTGATGAATTTAACAGGAGAGTTGAAAATAATTCATCAGATTCAAAAGCATTTAAAGCCTCATTTCAAAACAAGACAAAGGGAGAAAAGTTTTTCTCATATTGTTATAAAAATAATCATTTTAGATCAGATTGTTGTCATCTAAAACCAAAACAAAAAAAATTAACTGCATCAAAACTCAAAGAAAACATACACGGATTCTAAAACACACCAACAAGCAAAGAATGCATGTAACCTTGTGATGAATAAACAAGAAACAAAAATTAAAACACTGGAAATCGAATCCAGATGTGAAGGCGTCGCTCTGTCTGCTAACTACACGATACCTCAATCCTTCGAAAGTTTTATTTTCGATAGTGGTGCAGGTAATCACCTGGTAAATAATAAGAAATATTTCATGGAATTTCAAGCAATAAATCCATCAGATATTATAATTGCGAATGGGCAGTGTATTAAATCAATGGCGATAGGAACTGTCCGTTTTAAAACATTAAATGCTGAACAAAATATAATTGAAGTTCTCTTATCGGAAGTTTTATACGATCCTGAATTAGAAACAAATTTAATCTCAAGAAAATAATGGAAAAAGGAGTTTCCGTCTGTTTGAAGGAAATAAATGTATGATCACAAAAGGAGATCGGATTATTCTAGAATGTCATGCAACTAACAATCTTTACCAAATTAAACCAATTGACAGGAATAATGAACCATCAGCTCATGTAGCTTTTCAATGTAAAAATGAGAACTGTGTTCAACTTTGGCATAGACACCTTGGTCACAGAAACGATAATGCAATCAAACAACTTGTAAACAAAGAACTCACTGAAAGAATTAAATTAGATAATTGTAAACATGATACCAAATGCATTTAGTGTATAAAATGTAAACTAACTGATTTCCCGTATCCCAAAGAATCGAAATTCAGAGCATCTAAACCGCTAGAACTCATTCACACTGTTTTAGGACCAGAACAAACACCGTCTGTCAGTGGATACCTGTACTTCGTAATATTTATTGATGATTACAGCAGGTTCACAATGATTTACGTAATCAAAAATAAATAAATAAATAAATTGAGTAATTTCTAAATTGAAACAATTTATTGCTCTTACAAACAATAAATTTGGGAGAAAAGTAAAAATGCTAAGAAGTGATAACGGTAGGGAATAGACAAGTAAGGAACTTGAAGAATATCTTATAAAACATGGTATAAATCACCAGCTTATTGTACCATATTGTTCAGCACAAAATGGAGTCAGTGAACGCAAAAATAGGTCTTTGATGGAGGTGACAAGATGTCTTTTAGCTGACTCAGGTCAACCTCAGAGATACTGGGCAGAAGCACTGCTGACTGTGAATTATTTACAGAATCGTATGCCTACAAAACCAAATGCAGAAACACCATATGAGTTATGGAATAACAAAAAGCCCAACCTCTCTCATCTGAGGGCTTTTGGGTGCAAAGCTTTTGCTTACATTCATAAATCTAAAAGGGGTAAACTCTATGATACCGCTATAGAAGGAATACTCGTCAGCTACGACAGTAGAAGTAAAGGCTACAGAATTTTAGTCCCTGGAGACAAAATCATAATAAGTCGATCTGTACAATTTATTGAAGATACTAGAACTAACGAGCCTGTAAGCATCTCTTTAAACCAGGATGAAGAAAATCCTAAGGAAGAAAGCTCAGAACAGGAAGAAATAAAAACTGAAGAACCCCAAAATGGAGAAATATCAGAACTCGAAGAAGAAACTTTGGAAGTCAGAAGATCGAAAAAAGTAAACCTCCTGATCGCTATGGATTCCATGCAAAATATCCAATCTCCCCGAACCCAAAACATGGAAGGAAATTCAAACTTTGGAAGAAAATGAAAAAAGAAAATGGCTAACAGCTGTTCAAGAAGAAATTAATTCACTAGAAGAAAACAACATTTGGGAGTTAATTGATTTACCAAAAGGAAGAAAACTAATAGGATGTAAATGGTTTTTCAAGATAAAGCTCAATGCTGAAGGAAAAATTGAAAGATACAAAGCCTGATTAGTCGCAAAAGGATTTAGCCAGAAGTTTGGATCTGATTATGATGAAAAACTTTGCTCCTGTAGTAAACTACACAACTCTATGAGCTTTCCTATGTGCAGCTTCCTATAAAAATATGTCTGTCAGACATATCGATGTCAAAACAGCTTTCCTTCATGAAGAACTAGAAGAAAAAATTTATATGACACAACCCGAAGGATACTCAAAAGCTGGAAATGAAAATAAAGTTTGCAAGCTTAAGAAATCTATATATGGTTTAAAACAAGCCGCTAGAGCTTGGAATTTAAAAATTGGAAAAATACTTCTCTAAACATGTCATTTAAACAAAGTAAAGCAGACTCATGCTTGTTTTACAAAAACATCAATGGAAAATTCACATATATAATATTATATGTAGATGATATGCTTATAGGAAGTGAAAGAGAAGAAAATGTAACGGAAACTATCTAACAATTAAATGCTAAATTTGAAATCAAAAACCTAGGAGAAGTCACCTACTACCTCGGTACAAACATCGAAAGATTTAAAGATGGAGCCTTTGCCATAAACCAAAAGAATAAAAATCGAAGAAATAGTTTAAAAGTTTGGAGTTAAAAACGAAAAACCAACATATACGCCAATGGAAACAAACTACTGCAAGCTAGAAACTGAAGATGATTTTCTAGAGGATAATACAGAATATAAAAAAGCAGTAGGGGCATTATTATACATTGCAACAATCAGCAGACCAGCTATAGCATGTGCTGTCAATCTACTGAGTAGAAGAAATGAAAAACCTAGAAACATAGATTGGAATGCTGTCAAGAAAGTCATTCGATATTTAAATACAACTAAATACTTTAAGACAATTCAAGAACCTATACTAACTGCATATTCAGATGCAGATTGGGCAAATGAGAGAACAAGAAAATCCATCAACGGATACATATTCAAACTAGGAAATAACTGCATTTCATGGATCAGCAAAAGGCAAAACTGCATTGCACTATCTTCAACTGAAGCAGAATATGTTGCAGCAGCTAATACAGCACAAGAAGCACAATGGCTGTTAAATTTGCTTAAAGATCTAGGACTAAAATAAAATCTGCCGTTTACTGTCTATGAAGATAACAAAAGATGCATCAAACTATCACAAACGGAGAAAAATACTTCCAGAACAAAACATATAGACGTCAAATACCACTACTTGCATGAACTTCAACAAAAGGGGATCCTGAGCCTAGACTACTGCAGAAGCTCCGACATGATTGAGGATCTACTCAACAAACCACTAGGCAAACCTGTGTTCGAGAATCATTGCAAATGGCAATCCTGCCCATCAAGTAGAGCTGTTGGTATGCAAATAGTGATGGACTGTCCCCAATAACATGATAAACATTATGAACTGGAAACCCTGCAAAGGAATTAATTGTGCAACTCGCTTATTTTTTATTCTTACAATTCTCACTCCTACAGAAAAGGACAGTGATATGACACTCTCTATTATCTCCCTTTTGCAATATGTATTTGGAATACTAACAAATCTTAATCTATTTTCATGTATTAATAAAGTATGTAATTCACTTACAATTTCCATCTACAACCTTTTTGGATTACAAGTTAATTAGCTATCATTTTGCTTGAAACTGCGCTGGAATCAAGGTAAGAAGAAATAATTTACACTCTACTTTTATTAATTCGTTGTGAAATTTCGAAGCTATAAAATGTTTTACAACAAAAGGAAACATTGCACGAGTACAATCCTACTCACTACACATCCGTAGATTTATTCCGCTAATGTTGCGCGAATGCAACACTCGCTTTTTCTACAGGTAGGAGCATTTATTTTATTTTCAATGTAAATTTATGTTATAAATGCTTAATTTACTATTTGTTATTATTTTCATGACGAAAGAATCATTCCTTGTAGTTTTAGCAGTTAATGGGTTAAAGGGTGATGATAAATCAATAAATTTATATAATAAAACTGAAGATAAAAGAGCTAGAAAACGATCAAAAAAACTTTCAGAATACAGTGCTTACATAAAAAGAATGATTGACTTTTCATTTATCTTTTAAAGAAAACACAGTCTGCTACAGCAGATACAGTAATTGATTACATGCTTAGGAATTTTAATTTACATTTCCTTTTGATATAATGGCATCATAGTAAAATTGAATATGAAAGAGTAAAGTATTATTATATAAGAAGTACCACTTTTTCTCTCTGTAACCCATACTGGATGCATAATTTTAAATAATAATGCTAGTCAATCACCTTAAAAAATTCTTTCTTACTTATTTTTTCCTTCAGAAAATACGAAAAAAATATATAGAAATATAGCATAAATTCTACAGAATGCACAGTTTGCAATATTTTAATAAATGATTTCTATTTAGAACTATTTGAATATCTTTTTAGGATTCATAATCTGAAGCAGTTCTCTACTCTATGCATAAAATTTATCAGCTCAGCGTAGTTGGAAATGCAATTCTATCTATAATAGCATATGGGACAAATTTTTATAACTCTTAATTATTTTATACAGAATAAATGTTTACACGTTGTTGTTGTGCTTTGTTTGTTTGTTGTGCTGTTGTTTTTAGTTTTGCTATAAGTTAAGAATTATAGCAAAACTTAAAAACTGTTTCTTTAATTTTAAATTTTCAGGAGATTTTAGCATAAGGGCATAAATGATTACTTCGAACTTATAGGTTTCCTTATAAATTTATGCCATTATAAATTTTCATACAAAACATGTAAAATATTCAATTTTCATTAGTTCATAAATGAATGAATAAAATTCTTTTAATTTAGTAATAATCAAATAATGCAAATTTCAGAGGCAATAAATAACAAATAATACAAAAAATATTATGCCCATAAAACGCACCTTTAGTCTAAAATTTGCAGGACCACTACAACCTTTTGGACCCGATCCTTTATAACATGTTTTGGAAATTAGTGCCTGCACAGAAAAAGAAACATTTATAACTAATGTTATTAACAAGAATAGCATCAAAAGTGAAAAAATAAACTACCATTTAAAAGCTTCGTATGCATCTAAAAGTAAACATAAATGAAGTTTAAACATAATTAAATTGTCAGGAGAGAAGTAAACAACACATTTCTTCTGAGAAAATATACACAATGAATCAGCACAATATCAGTTTAACTATATGACAAGAAAATCTCGTTCTCTTACATACACACACATACATAAAATAACTTAATACAAAGAAATACATAAGAAGAAAGTTTAATCTTAAACATATTTTAACCCTTTGCACTCGGGGCCATGCACCAGCAACTCAAGAAGTTTTGCAGCCTTTTTGATGCATTTCTTACCAGTAACTTAAAATCATTACACACACAAATTAATGTATAATTTTTTTTATATTCTAACATTTTATATATCATTACACATTTACAAACATAATTTCTTAAATATTAGTCTCTGTAATTTTCTGTGTATGATATTTCATGTAACAATTCCCCAGATGCAAGCCTGCACTAATATGTCATTTGATGCATTTTTCCAGGTTCATTTCTCTGAGAACATACTTTGTGATAGATAAGAAAAGATTACAGATAAGAAAATCTTATCTTCATTTAAAGGGGTATGATTTATACTTCATAAGATTATACAGAAAGAGCGTAAGAACCCCCTTTGAAAAAACTAAACGTAAACAGTTGTTGCCGCCCATCGAAATTCCATATCAAACCGAGTGGTGAGCAAGAGTCACTTCCCGAGTTGTGGCAACAAAGTCCGTAATCTGGACTCGTTGGGACTTCAGTGATTCCGGATTAGTGGTTTTTGAGGATTACAGATCATCAATTTAAATCTGGTAAGATGGCATTCAGAAATTATACAATTAAAAATATGAAACTGTAATTTATGAAATAAAGAGCAATTATGATCTAAAAGTTATCAAAATTTACAAAAAAAAAAAAAAGCTTAATATTTATTTGTTTACTTTATTAAACATTTCTTTCATTGCAAGTTGTTTAAGTTGCTTCGTTTTTTGTGCTAATACTTTTTCTTTAATTCTATAAACAGATATAATTTCTTGTTCAGTTACAAAGTTCCATTGTACAAGTCCTGTAATTGCTGTGCTGAGAATACTGATTAACTTGTCAATCGAAATTTTTTCGTTTTCAATAACCTGTGTCACTTTCTTCACTATCAGAAGCGGTATTTTCTGGATCTTGAACCATACTACAGATTTCGCCATCCGTTAATTGATTGATGATTGGGGCATTGTCATTGCAATGAAAAACTTTTGTTGCATCATCTTCATTTATTACCACTTCTCCACATTTCTTTACAAAATCCAATAACTGAAAAATTTCACCTTTAGCTTGCAATGTCCGAAAACCTCCCAAATCATGGCTATCATCTTCATCGTCCTCATCATGAAATATGCTAGCTGGCCATAAATTATGCCAAGCATTTTTAAACGTATCTGGAGATACATCTTCCCACGATCTTGTGATGCTCCACACGGCAGATTTTGTGCTAAAAAATTTCAAAAAGTCTTGAATAATTTTGACATTGTTCAAGAAATTTAACATAGATTTTAAAAATGCTACTTTATATTTGCATTTCAGTATGTGCACTATTCCCATATCCATAAGGCTGATGATAGACGTACAATTTGGAGGGAAGAATAATATGGATACGTTATCTTTCACTAAAACTTTAAGTGAAGTATGCACCGAACAGTTGTCAACAATCAGGACTATTTTTGAGTCATCAGGTAAACCAATCGAATTCAAATGTCGCCGAGCCTCGGGTATAAAATGATTTTCAAACCAATCATTCATCAACGCTTGTTTCATCCATGCTCTTTTATTTACACGATATACAACGGGGAAAATTGTTACTCTTTTAAATGTTCAAGGTCGTGCATGTTTTCTGATTACAAAAAGTTCGCACCTGTGCGTTCCTGCAGCATTTGCATACGCTAAAATTGTTAGTCTTGCTTTGCAATCTTTGACACCAATTGGAGCCTTTTCAATAGAGGTTGGCAAGATATTTCACGGTACATATTACCAGAAAAGACCATTTCATCAGCATTGTAAGTTTGTTCTGGAGATAATTGTTCACTAGTAATGAGTTCCAGGGGCACTGCTAGGGTGGGGAGAGGGGGGACATCCGTCCCCGGGCATAGCATCCAGGGGGCAGCAAACTGATGATACACATTTCAGAATGAAATGTTTCCCATTCTTGGAACACAGAAAGGGGCGCAAAATCTTTAGGTGTCCTCGGGCACTTAAAATCTTAGCTATGCCTTTGATGAGTTCAATGAATTCATCTGCAAATTGTTCAGCAGCTTCAGTATCAGCTGAAGCTTTTTCACGTGAAATTTTTGATTGTCTTATAGCATGCCAATTTTTAAATTTGGTTAACCTACCTGTCGAATATGTCAGTGTTTAAGTTCCTTCCTTCATGAAATATTTTGGCTTAAGCCATTAGCATTGGACCCGTCAATGGCACGCCCTCACTGCGACACTGTCTGACCCTTTCAATCATCACTTTGTCATGATCTTCACTTTTAGCATAACGAACCCTTTTTCTGTTATTCATTGCAAGTGGGGTGTCGGAATCCACAAAAAATTCAAGAAGTACCTTTTTCTTTTTGCTTATGTCATATACAGTTAACTTTCCAATGTCATACTCCTCGCATAATTTTGAGACGGATATGCCTTTATCCATTTTTTGCAGCAATTCCACTTTTTGCTTGATGGCCATCGAAACATGCTTTCACTTTGTAGATCCTTTGGCAGCTCCAGAACTGGGAACTCTTTTTGACATAATCAAAAGTTCAAGCTTAATTTTTATAAAATTGCTCTAACAGTCTGCAAAAAATAATAAGCTAGATCCAATTCGAAGATTAAGGAACAGCACAATTTATAGATCATTCCAGATTACGGACTTTGTACTGTAATTACTTTTCCTTCTATGTTACTTGGTTAAAATTCTGAAGTTTAGTACACCTTAAATTCATAAAATTAATAAAAACATTTTCCACTTAAAGGACTACAGATTTTAACTTGATGATTTACAGGTCCCACTTTTATTTTTAACTGCAGAGCATTTTAGGTTTATTAGTTTTAGACAGAATGCCTTTATAGAGAGTTTTCTAGAGGAAACGGGCTCATGTTATACGTAGGAAAAACACGAAGCAGTGAGTTTGTTTTGTCTGCCTTTTTAGAGGTGGATCATTCCAGCCTTATGAAAATGGATATACATTACAATATATTGCAGTTATTTACATCAGCGCACAATCTGCGGAATGTATATTTGTGTACGCGTGTACATACAATTTTTCAAAAATTTACAACTATACTATCCCGGAAAGTGTAATGCGCTAGCATAAATGACTACTGTAACTATTCAAAAAATTTTAAATATTTAGCAAACCAAATGGAAATTGAAAGTAAGCAAAATAAATTGAATTTTTCATTTTTTTTAAAAAATAAGAATTATTTAAGGATTTGAAAGTATATTTCCTCCTTCTTGACATTTTGAGAGAACTTAACATATATCCATAAAGAAATACTTAAAAATATATGGTTTTTTTACACCCCATTCTCAAAGAGTCAAGAATATACTCCAACATAAATTCAAACCCCCTACAAAAAAAAATAAATAAATAAAATAAATAAACTATCGAATTTAAGTATAAAATAAATAAAGAAAAAGGCCCATTCACTGCAATAAAGTTAGAATATCAAAAACAAGAACTCTAGATTACCAAATTAATTACACCAAATTTTCCATAGAAATATACAACAGGCCAAAAATAGTTACTAAAAGTCTTATTTGAAACATCCTCAAATTCATAAAGTTAAAATCCAAATCGGCCAATAGCATATTTGTAAATACTAAACCATTATTTTTTTTAATTTTAATTTAATTTTATTATTTTTATTTTTAGAATTCTTATTGTTACTAAGGGAAGCACTAGGAATTTCCTAGTTGCCACTAAAGGCTAAAAATCAAAATGTTACTTAGTATAATAAAACAATGTTAATTTTTACTTCAAAATTACAAGTTGCTGAATTAAATAACACAAGACAGTTTATAAGGTCTGTTAATTTAGAATACAGCACAATGTACAGTAGAGAAAAGAAACTCTCATTTGACCACTGATTTCGGATAAGGCAACACCTAGTAGTTCTGAATATGGTAATTACCATAAAACCATTAATAGAGTTGTTAAATATTAATTATCAACTAGATCAGAGTTTCTTGAACTGTGGGTAGTGACCTCCCAGGATCTGCAGCAGGGGGTCACCAAAAATTTTAGCAGTTTTGATATTTCTTTAACTTATTATAATAATTTTACAATTACCAAGTATTTTACACAATGTATCTGAAAATAGATAAAGATAAGACAATACAGACAAAGAAAAAATGAAAACGTTTCGACGTACTCTTTTTATAATATAAATGTTCATTTTACTTGCTTTGTACATGACACTGTCATTTCGTCTGTTACTTATTTAAAATTTTCACATTGCTCTATGTCTTAAAATTAGAAATTAATGTTAATGACCTAAAACTACAATAGTATATTACAGTAAAAGTGGGAAAATTGACAGTTTCACTCACAGTGTTGGATTTGCGCAATGCTTATGGGGTACCACAAAATTTTCGTAAATATTATGGGAGTCCAGGGATTGCAAAAAAATTTCAGTAATAAAAAGAAGTCTTGACTGAAAAAAGTTTAAGAAGCTGTAAACTAGATGAATATATTTTGAATAACGGTTTAACATATGTAAGCAGTTAACTGCTTGGATATTTCTAAAACTATCAATTTAACCCCATCAAGAAGTTTAGACATGCAGTCATTAAATATCCCCATTAACATTCAATTAGTTGATCCCCAGTTTGGATCTTATAACAAAATACACATGTTATTCAGCGTCGAACTACGGAACTACTTTGAGATTTTCAAA